GAGATGGGGCCTCTTAGAAATAGGTTGTTCCAGTCACTTTTACAGAAGGTATAAAGAAGTGAGACCCCAAAGAGGTGAGTGAGTTGGCCTTTCTTTGGTTACCTAGGTTTGGAAGATTTTTATTTTGGATATTCAGTTACTATTTAATTAAAGTAGTGATTTACGTGATGCCTGAGTGGCTCAGTTGGTTAAGCAGCTGTCTTCAGCTCAGGTCATGATCCCAGTGTCTTGGGATAGAGTTCCGCATCGGGCTCCCTGCTCTGCGGGGAGCCTGCTTCTTCCTCTGCCTCTACCTGCTGCTCCCCTGCTTGTGCTCTCTCTCTCTCTCTCTGACAAATAAATGAATAAAATCTTTAAAAAAAAAAAAAAAGTAGTGATTTACTAGATCTACTCATACTCACTTCCCAGGAGAAAGGTGCCAGGGTTTTCAACTCCACAGCTGAACTGTTCTGTGGCAACTGCATTTGCTAGTCGAGCTTTCTCAGGAGGCTATTTGCCAACATGGTGGTCATCACAGATGCTGACCTGTGGGTGCCCTCACTGATCTGCATCCCTCCCACCCCGAAGAGCAAACCCTCTTTGGGGCTGCCAGAAAACAACAGGCTATTAACTGGATGAAAAATGAATAAATGTTATTATAGAAACTACTCAGGTAGAGAATTTAGATCAGAAAACACTATGTATCAGCGATGAAGATAAATACTGTAGGCTATGCATTTTCATCTGTGCTTGACTTTATGGGATTAGCTCTACTGGATGAACTCAAGAAACTTTTCAAAGCTCAGCTGAATTTTATTTTATAGTCAGCAGGGAGTACATAACATGGAAAATTTGTTTCTGAGAAGAGATGTTTCATGAATAAACATAGACACAGAGCTACGAAATGGTTAATACCCATGCTGACTACAGTCCAGGGCACTCATTTATGGTATAATCCATGAATTCCAAATAGAAGGAAAAAGTTCACTTTTAAAACCATTAACCCAGTGATAAGATTTTTGAGAATCTCATCCAAAGCACCATTCCCTGACTATTGAGAGTCTCTTAATGTTTGTAGGAGATAACCTCTTGACTTTCTTTTTCTGCAATAAGCCTTGTCTGGTGAACCTGGAGCTCCGCAGAAAAAGATAACACCTTCCTCCTGTGGACTTTGACAAATGACAAGTTCTGAGTCTACAGGAACCACTTTATTCTTATCCAGAGAAATCTAAGAGTCAGCATGTTCTTTTTAGTTAAAATCACTCACTTTCTAATTTTTGCTTAACCTTTGACATAACATTTTGTTATGTGGCCACAGTTTGAGCAAAGACTATAGTATTATTAATAAGGTTAAATTTAATAATGATTTTAAACTCATGCATGTCTGTGAAATTCAGAGATAATGAGTATCAGCTACTCTGTGCTCTAGGGGCAGGGGAGGCAGTTTTCACACGTGAAGCTGATATCCTCCAGCTACCTTTAGCAGCACATTTAACACAACAGGTACCCAGGGTAGTGTATGTGACCAAACGTGGGTCCTGCAGTTGCACGAATCAGCATTCAAATCCCAACGCTACCCCTTTCTGGCTGTGTTTTCTTTTTGACAAATTACTCAATTTTGTTAAATTCCATTTTCTCATTTATTAAAATGGAGCCACAATTCCTACTTCATAGAGCTGTCATATCAGTGAGCTAATATATTAAAAAAGAAACTACACATAGCACTTGATACATAGTAAGTGCTCAATGCATGCTGATTTTCCAGTCTCTGCACCTTGAGTCCACGGTGGCTTGAATTATCAGAAGGTCAAATTATTACATGGTTTCAACTATACACTGACCCTGGAATATAAGCCTCAGGAATAGCAGAAGAATAAAGCTCACATATCCATAGCTTTAAAATGGGTTAATTATTTATGTTAGCATAATTGTGAAAACCTACAATGCCTTAGAAACAAAAGTTTCATACCACCTTAGAAGGGGACTCTGTGGAAGAACATCTTTCCACTGCTGAGTCAGCCCTTCTTAACCATTTTTTTTTCTGTCTCTCCAAGTAGCTTGGGAAGTCAGCTTCATTACCTCCTCTACTAGAACAGACCTATAATCAACAGGAGAAACATCAATCCCTGAACCCTTCCTTCCCTCACTGAAGTGGTATTCTTTCAGGGCATGAAGACTGAAGAGGGAAGGAAGACACATAGAGAGAGTAGTGGTGTTAGCATTAGTCGTGATAAAGATGGCTAATATTTATGAGGCTATAGGCCAATCAACTATTTTGCAAACATGTCTTTTAATGCCCACAACATTTCTATGAAGAGAGTAATATTATCAATTTCATTTACAGTTTGAGGAAACTAAGGTACAGACAGGTTAACTAACTTATCCAAGGCCATCTCTCTAGGAGTGTGAAGGTGGGAATTCAAACACGGGTCATCTGAATGCAGAGCCATGGTCTATAAGCCACACCACTTTTGGGAGCCTGTTAGCAGTGAATCAACAAAAGGGAGAGCTACAGTGGGAGCTCACCAACATGTTAGCCTAGTGGGCTCTTCCCCAGCCATGATGTCCCCAGGGGACTGCATGAGGACACCCCACCGGGTTCCCAGGAGATCCTTACAATTCTTTAAGGAAAGTGAAGATGGGATCACATCTACATCTAGTGTTACACAAATAAAGAGTAGAGTTTGGGAAGGTGATATTTGTCAATATCAGTTTATCCTGGTAAGACTGAAAGGCACTTGGGGATCTCCAATACCTGGCTCATGACTTAATAAACAATAGTTGAATTTCTAACAATTGAAGAAATAGTATGGTAGAATCCCTAGTGCTTTCCTAGTTAGGTGGGGAATCTGCCTTACTGTGAATCTATCATTTCTTTCCATCACATGTAAAAACAAACAATCTAATTTAAAAATGGGCAGAGAATATACTGTGCTCATGGACTGGAAGAATATTGTTAAAGTGTACATGCTACTCAAAGCTATCTATAGATTCAATGCAATCCCTATCAAAATACCAATGGCACTTTCCACAGAACTATAACAAAGAATCCAAAAGTTTGTGTGGAGCCACAAAGCCCTGAAAAGCCAAAGCAATCTTGAGAAAGAAGAATAAAGGTGGAGGTATCACACTCCCTGATTTCAAATTATACTACAAAACTATTGTAATCAAAACAGTATGGTACTGGCACAAAAACACACATAGATCAATGGAACAGAACCTAGAGTCTAGAAATAAACCCATGCTGATACAGCCAATTAATGTTCAACAAAGGAGGCAAGAACATTCAATAAGCAAAGAACAGTCTCTTCAATAAATGGTGTTGGGAAAACTGGGCAGCTACATGCAAAAAATGAAACTGGACCGCTTTCTTACACCACATACAAATATAAATTCAAAATGGAGTGAAGATGTAAATGTCATACTGGAAACCATAAAAATCTTAGAAGAAAACATAGGCAGTAGCTCTTGGACATTGGTCTGAGCAATATTTTTTGGATCTCTTTAGGCAAGGTTAACAAAAGCAAAAATAAACAAATGGGACACATCAAACTAAAAAGCTTTTTCCACAGCAAAGGAAACCATCAATGAAACTAAAAAACAAAAACAAAAACAAAAACAAAAAAACCCTACTGAATGGGAGAAGGTATGTGCAAATGATATAACTGATAGGGGGTTAATATCCAAAATATACAAAAAACTCATACAACTCAATATAAAAAAACAACTTAAAAAATGGGCAAAAGGGGCACTTGGGTGGCTCAGTCATTAAGCATCTGCCTTCGGCTCAGGTCATGATCCCAGGGTCCTGGGATCGAGCCCTGCATCGGGCTCCCTGCTCTGCAGGAAGCCTGCTTCTCCCTCTCCCACTCCCCCTGCTTGTGTTCCTGCTCTCGCTATCTCTCTGTCAATTAAATAAATAAAATCTTTAAAAAAAATGGGCAAAGAACCTGAATACACTTTTCTCCAAAGAAGACATACACATGAAAAGATGTTCAACATCACTAATCATCGGAGAAATGCAAATCAAAACTGCAAAAAACATCACCTCACATCTGTTAGAATGGTTATTATCAAAAAGACAAGAAATAACAAATGTTGGTGAGGATGTGGAGAAAAGGGAATCCTCATCACTGTTGATGGGAATGCAAAACGGTGCAGTCACCGTGGAAAACAGTATGAAGGTTCCTCAAAAAATTGAAAATAGAATTAGCATCTGATCCAGGTATTGGATCAGATGCTCAAATACCTCTGAGTATTTATCCAAAGAAAATGAAAACACTAACTTGAAAAGATATTTGTACCCACATGTTCATTGCAGCATTATTTACAATAGCCATGATATGGAAACAACCTAAGTGTCCATCAATAAATGAATGGATAAAGAAAATGTACACACACACACACACACACACTGGAATATTATTCAGTCATAAAAATGAAGGAAAGCTTGCCATTTGCAACATGGATGGATCTTGAGGGTATTATGATAAGTGAAGTAAGACAGAAAAAGACAAATACTAAATGATCTCATATGTGGAATCCTAAAAAAAAAAAAATTGAGCTCATGGATACAGAGAACAGACTGGTGGTTGCCAGTGGAGGGGCAAAAGAGGTGAAGGGGGTCAAAAGATACCAACTTCTAATTGTAAAATAAGTAAGTCGTGGGTGGACCTAGAGGGTATAAAGCTAACTAAAGTAAGTCAGTCAGAGAAAGATAATACCACATAGTTTCACTCATATGTGGAATTTACTCAAAGAAAAAAAACGAGATGAACAACAACAAAAAACACCAGACTTTTTTTTTTTTTTTTTTTTTTAAGTATTTCCATAATACAATCTTTATTTCGAGAGTACAGGCCACAGAGCTTATCTTGTAAAAATCCCATCACGCTGTGCTCAGAGGCTCCTTAGGACTGGGGGTTCTCCACGGAGAGTAATCAGCACTCCCACGGTGTTTGTCTCCGTCACTGAGACCGGCTGGGGCACCTGTCCGGGCAGGACGAAGTGGGGAGCCATGCTCAGTAGTCTATGTTGAAAGGATAGTCCTTGTGGTGTTCAGCTATGGGTAACCTGCACATTCGGAAGTTCCTGTCCAGGCCGAGGATGTCGTTCATATCCTGTTCTGATAATTCGAAGTCAAACACCTGGATATTCTCAAGAATCCGCTTTGGGGTGACTGATTTGGGGATCACTATCACATTCCTCTGGATCTGAAATCGGAGCAAAATCTGGGCTGGAGACTTGTTGTACTTCTGGGCCACCCTCTGAATCACGGGGTCATCCAGCAGGTCCACCCCCTCACTGGAACCACCGAGGGGCCGGTACGCGGTCATGGACACATCTCTGGACTGGCAAAAACGGATCAGATCCTTCTGGGTAAGATACGGGTGGCACTCAATCTGGTTAGTGATTGGCTTGAATCTCAAGTTGGGTTTATTCAGAAGTCTCTCAAGCTGCTCGTGGTTGAAGTTTGACACCCCGATGAAAAAACACCAGACTTTTAAATACAGGGAAATTGGTGGTTGCCAGAGATAGGGTAGGTAGGGGGGACAGGTGAAATAGACAAAGGAGATTAAGAGTACACTTATCATGATGAGCACTGAAAAATGTATAGAATTGTTGAATCATTATATTGTACATCTGAAACTAATATAACTGTATGTTAATTACACTTCAATAAATAAACATGCATATATATATGTCACAGGGATGTAATGTACATCATAGTAACTATAGTTAATAATACCATATTGTATATTTGAAAGTTGCTAAAAGAGTAGATCTTCAAAGTTCTCATCACAAGAAAATTCTATAACTATGGTGACAGATGCTAACTAGATTTACTGTGGTGAACATTTTGCCATATTTACAAATATCGAATCATTACACTGTACACCTGAAACTAATACAAAGTTCTATGATAGCTTTACCTCAATTTAAAAAAAAAAGCAATGAAAGCTCAAATAGATGGATAAATATAGTAGCCTGAATTTCTTAGGCAATAACCTGGCATATTTCAAGTTGAAATATGAAATAACCCTCTATTTCAAGCTGAAAATTGGCTAGTACATAGAGGAATGGGATAGATATCTACATTAGAAACTGCATGGAGACAGAAGGGAGGAAGAGAAATAAAAAGAGAAGTAGGGAGAGAAGGCAGAAGTCACCATTTGAGTAAAAAGTAAATTTTACTGGCTACAACCTTGTGACACCTGTCGGTGCCAGGCTGCCCGTCTGGGGCTCTTTTACCTCTCTGACAGCTCCCTCTCTGGTCTCTGAGGCTTTCCCCACCTCAGAGCCCTGGCTGGTGCCCAGGGCCCACTCTCCTTACTATTCAAAGTCTTCTTGACCAATTTGTAAGCTTATGATTGCCATGGACAACATTCATTAAGTGCCTTTTGGCATGGGAAGCATTCTAAGGTTCACACAAATATTATCGGATGATCATCAGTATTTTGACTACTATGATCTCTGTTGGTCACTGAAAATTTCCAAAGGCTGTGTAGGTCCTGGGTAAGAACATGGGCTTTGGAACCAGATTCGTTGTGAAACCTGGTTGTGCTGTTAGCTGTGTACCTTCAGCAAATGACTCTACCTCCTCTTTCTGCACATCGGGGGGTGATAATACTACCCACTATTCAGGGTGGCTACAAGGATCAGATGATGCTAGGGGTTCTTACCTTTCTGTGCCAGAGACCCATCGGACAGTATGGGGAAGCCCTTGGAAACTTTCCTCAGAACAATCTATTTTAAAAACATAAAAGATACATTACACTCTATTATAAAGCAAACTAATCAAAATTCAGTCATCCAAATATTTTAAAAAACAAATTTGTGATTAGTAATAAATGCATTAAATAATAAGACCTAAAAGTAGGTTTAATATCAACAGGAAATTTCAAGTTTGTGATAACTATCAACTCTATTTTGAGATGGCTGGGACACCTGTAATGTACTATGAAAACAGCTGATTGCCAACGGTGACAAAAACAAGGGTACTGGTAATGCTATCAAAGTTTACTGCTCATGGGGCGCCTGGGTGGCTCAGTTGGTTAAGCGACTGCCTTCGGCTCGGGTCATGATCTCAGGGTCCTGGGATCGAACCCCGCATCAGGCTCCCTGCTCGGCAGGAAGCCTGCTTCTCCCTCTCCCACTCCCCCTGCTTGTGTTCGCTCTCTCGCTGTCTCTCTCTCTGTCAAATAAATAAAATCTTTAAAAAAAAAAAAAAAGTTTACTGCTCATGTCTATATTTGAAAGAAATGCAAAGATCCAGTTAAAGATAGTGAAAATAAATATGTAATTTTTTTCATCTAAGTTCAAAGATCCTCCTTAATTCCAGTCTCATACTTTTTTGGGGGAAATCCATGGGCCTCAGGGAAAGCCTTGGACTGATGTCAGGTAGGGCTTAGTGCAGTGTAGTTCATAGGGCGAGCTCTATAAATTACTCACGATGCAAAGATTTCTTCTTAGGAATTGAAATGATGTCATTCATTAGAGTGAGCCACATGAAATTGCAAATTTTGTAGGTAAAAAAAATATCAAATTTTGGCAATTTCATAGGGTTCAATCTAATATAATTTAGGAACCATATAAAGAAACTTGTGAAACTAATTCTTTAGTATATGAATTTTTTTTCCCCTAAGGAAGTATATATTAGCTTAATGGTTTTTTGAAAGTATACACTATTTGGAGTTACATGCTTGACTGTTTCTTTGGGTTCTTTCCAGTATTTGTTGACAAAGACAGATGGACAACATTTTGGGCTATTCTGAGATTTATGATACTTCTTAACATCCATCTTTATCTTCTTAATTGTAGAGCATTTGTTATGTCTGTGATTTGCTCATTCCTAATGATTCATTTAGACCTGAAAAATCTCTCCTTTGTTGCCAAAAAGTTTAGCCTTATTAATCTGGAGGAAGTCTATGACCTAGCTGCATTTAAGTTTGACATATTATTTGGAAAGATACTTTAAGGTGTTTCAATCACCCACAAATGACTATCTAGTATAGTCTGTTACCCTGGGCAGCCCTACACCATCTCTGGATTGAAAGAATGGAGGCAAGGGGAGATTTCAGTTACTCAATACAAATTCAAGTTCTTACAACAGTGTTCCATCGCAGGTTTCCTTCCCTATAGGCCCAGTTAGATGGTGCAGTCTGAGGGCAGAGATCCCCTTTCTCTTGTGTATTATAGTATCCCCAGTGCCGAGCTCTGTGCTTGGCACACAGTAGACATTCAATAAATTTTGTTGAATGAAAGAATGAAGAGATGAAGAAAGACGAGCCCTACTAACGGCTCTTCTCACCTCTGGCGGATAAAAGAGAAGAATCAGTGGGCTGTGACTTTGATTTGGTTTGTCATTAATGTTCCAATGTTAACTTTCCGCTCTCAGAAATATTATCAGTACAATAAAATACAATCAAACGGGAGGGAAAAAATTAGCTTTGTGAGCATATAAAAAAAACACTTTTAAAGATGAATACATTCTTTTTCATAGAATGCACAATCAAATTGAGCATATCAACAAGACTGCGAGTTTGACTTAAGAAAAAAACTCCACCTTTCAAGCATTATCAAGCTCTTTAGAGGTATCTACGTCTGTTCAAACTCCTGATCATATTATTAAAAAGTTGATAGTTTATTATGGAAAAATATGCTCACAGGAATGTTATAGAAAATATTCGGATAAGAAAATACTAAAAACACATGGCACATAGTAGGTACTCATAAATAATATGTTAATTGGATTGACTAATCTGATAAAAAATACCACTTTAATTTTTGTGTTTTAGAATTTTTGACAGAACCAGCATCATTTTACATATTTATTAATCATTTCTTTTACTCTGAGCTGTTTCCCTTGCCCTTCTTACTAAAACTGGGCTCTTCATATTTTTAATTGATCTACAAGAGCTCAATCTTTCATCCTAAAAATTGACAACATTTTCCCTATTTTAACAACTGTCTTTTGGCATTGTTTGTGTGTGTGCATGTGTGTGTGCCACATTAAGGATGAATATTATCCTATATTTCAAAAGGTCTTTTCAACACAATATTATAAAAATATTCATAATTTTATTTCTTTCATAATTTAAGTTTTTACATTCACATTTTTTATCTATCTGATTTGGGGGTAAGGAATCATGCAGGGACCTAGCTTTAGTATTTTCCAAATGGATATCTAGGCATCCCCAATGTTTTCATTGTAAACCTATTTTTTTCCCCACTGTCTGGAAAACCCAGCATTATTGAAGTCACCCTGCCATAAACTTGTGATTATTTCTGAGTTCTTTCCATTGAGCTTTCTATTGTTGCAAACCACAATTACAGTTGGTTAATCCACACTTGCTATTTTCTTTCCCAGAATTTTCTTTGCTATTCTTGCATGTTTATTTTTCAGACAAACTTTACAGTCATTTTGCAAATTCCCCTGAACTTGTGACTTTGATTAGGGTTTTATGAGCATTTAACCCAGTGCCTGACACACAGTAAGCCCTCTGTAAGTGTGAGCTATCATAGTAATTTTAAATAAGATTATGATTACCACATCAAATACAATGATTATGAAAAGAATTAACATCTTTGAAATATTGAGTCTTTTTATCCAAGAGAAAATTTGGATAATTTCCATGTATTTAAACTTTAAAAAATCTACCTCAGCGGTTGAAATGTTTTTCTAGGCTACTCACTATTTACTTTAGTCCTTTTCTCTTGCAACAATTATTTTACACCTTCCTCATTCTCCTTAAATCTCCTTTCTCAGTGTCTATACTTTTGTAGAGAAAGTCAATATGATCTGGATAGAGTTCTTTCGTCTTCTTCTAAATTAGTAAGCCTACCTCCATTTGCATTCCTTCCCCCCTTTCTTCACCCCAGTTACAAGCGATCTTCACATTGCTAAATCCAATGGTTATTTCTGTGCCTCATCCGACTTGACTTCTCAGCAGAGCATTTAACAGATTTACCATTTCTTCCTTGAAATACTCTCTTCCTTCTGCTTCCCTAAAATCATTCTTAGATTTCCAATCCCTCTTGACTGCTACTTCTAAGTCTCCCTGACCTTTAAACGTTCATGTTCATCAGGAATTTCCTCTGGGCCACTTTTCTTTCTCTTCCCATTCTCCCTTAATGACTGTAACTACTCCCCTTGACTTTAAATATCATCTGTATGCCAAAGACTTAAAAACTATCTCTGGCCCATATCTCTACTTCTGTGCTCCAGTTGGAGATACCTACTTGCCTACTTGAAATCTCCACTTGGAAGTCTTCCTGGCATCTTATTTGTTTAAAAGATTTTATTTATTTATTTGAGAGCAAGAGAGCAAGCACAAGGGGGTGGGTAGGGGCAGAAGGAGAGGGAGAAGCAGACTCCCACCCGATGCAGGGCTCAGTCCCAGGATCGTAGGATCATGACCTGAGCCGAAGGCAGATGCTTAACCGACTGAGCCACCCAGGCTCCTGATGGCATCTTATCTTAGATTTAAAATTGAACCAAACCATCCCCTACCCCACTTCAGATCTGTACTTCCTCTAATCCTCCCCACCTGAGAATATGGCTTCTCCATGCACTCCATTGTCCATGCCAAAATCTGGGTATAATCTAAACCATCAACAGCTCACATTCAAATCGTTACCAAACCTATCCAGTAACTCTTGAATCCATTCATTGATTCCCATCTTCACCACCCCCACCCAATTCCAAGGACCCCATCCCTAACCTGGACTCTAGGACAGCTTCCTTTTTTCTGCATATTTGCAGGTATCCTTTCCAACCAAGCAGTTGTCTACCTGAAAATCAAAGTAATAGTTCAAAAATATAAGCCTGAAATTATTACTGCTTTGCTTAAAGCTTTTTAGTGCCTCCTCATTATTCTCTTAAGAAAGTTACTATCATCCCAAGGTCCTGTATGACCTGTTCCCAAATTCTTCCTCAGCATTTTCTTCTGTCAACCTTACTTAGGATCCTCTGCTAAGACTCCACTCCCTGAAAGATGATAATCTATCTTTCTCCTCTTTTTTTTTTGGCCAATTCCTACTCATTCTTAGACTTCACTTTAAATCTTACATTTTAGGATGCCTGGGTGGCTCATTTGGTTAAACATCTGCCTTCGGCTCAGGTCATGATCTCGGGGTCATGGGATCAGGCCTGACATCAGGCTCCCAGCTCAGGGGGGAGTTTGCTTCTCCCTCTGCCCCTTCCCTCTGCTTGTGTGAACTCTCTCTCTTTCTGTCTCAAATAAATAAAATCTTTAAGAAAAATAAATGTTACATCTTTAGGGAGACATTTCTTGACCCTTAAGTACAGGCTCCAATATTGTATGCACTTACGGCACCCATTACTTTTCATCTATATTATAATAGTTATCATATAGTTTTTTTAATGATCTATGTTAATTATTAGATTGTATCCTACATGATGTCAGGGACTACATAATTTAAAAAAACTTTTGATTTTAAGATAATAGTAGAGTCACATGCAGTTGTAAGACACAGTACAGGGAGTTCTTGATTTCCTCCAATGGCAAAACTTGAACAACCACAGTACAAGATCACAACCAGGAAATTGACATCAAGAACCTGATTCAGAATTCACCATTTTACATGTGCTTATCTGTGTGTGTGTGTGTCTGTCTGTTGTTCCTTGCAATTTTATCACATGGAGATTTGTGTAACTACCACAGCGGTCATGATACAGAACAAACAGTTCGATTAAAAGGATACTTCTTTATAGCCATCCCTCC